ATGAAAAAAAGGATCTTCTTGAGAATGAAAAAAAGGATCTCAATTATAAAGAGCCAACATTTTCATGCCAAAATTTATATAGCAACTGTTTTATCATATAGAAAATATACAATGATATGGCTCTATTACTTTTTCCTAAGATAAGTTGATAAGATACTCAACAGGGTCTTTTAACATGTCATTGGTTTCCTTATGAATATATTGTAAGATTTAGGGGGAAATACTCAAAGTATGTTTGTTTTCCATTTTCCCTACATGAATATCACCATAGGATACTACAAAGAGATCATATTTAGAATTTTTTTTAACTTATAGAAGTCCATCTATATTCTAAAATCAACTTGGAATAAGGTTCAGTGGTAAATCTGGAAGATTTAATCTGGTATCCCCATTAACATATTACAAATGTGCATTAGTGTAATATTTGGCAACATTGTATTTTTTTAAATACAAAATGATGTGTGAACAGAGATGTTTCCAAACATCAGATATTTTTAATGTAATACAATTATTCCACAAAACTAAGAGACTGTTTAAGAGAAGGTGCAGCATGATTGGTCAAAGTCATAAGCAGTGTACATAATTTTAATTTACAATTTTAATTTTTATGAATCGGAAAACTTAAATTTCGAAAAAGCAATACCTCATTAAATATTTCTAGATTTGATCCTATGACAAAGAAATGTCTTTAGCTACACTATGACTTATGCTTCTATCAGTATCATTTTCTTTAGTTTTTCAATATGATATTAGTTGTGCTTTCATGTTCTTATTGTTCCAAATAGTCATACTGGAGTCCTTCCTTTGGGATTGTATTTGCTATCCTTCTGAAAGGGTGCAAGCATTTACGCTTGGGTAAGGCATTACATAAATGCTTTGTGTCAATTGGTTTATTCTATTCAAATTTCTTTTTAATTAAATTATTGGTTGATTGCTTTTTATATGCTCATGATAGAGTCTCCACTGCAAATATGTTTTGTTTTGTACTTCTATTGAGATGATTGTTTAAAAAATAAGAAATGTTCAGGATTTGACCTGTTCTAGTTATTATTTGGTAATTAAATAAGTCTCAGAATTTTTTTATCAGAAAATTGTCAGAGCTTTAAATGGTAATAGTTAATTTTTATCTCATAACAATTATTTTTGTGCGTCTTGAATTGAAAGAGCACGCTGTATTATTTTTTTAATTTAAACTCTACCTAATGGATTTGGTACATCCTAATAAAAATATGTTAACATTCTGTAAAAGCAAACAGAAAACATCTTGTGAAACCAACCAAGGAACAAGGAACAAACAAAAACTCTGAAGTTTTTTTGTGAAACTGAAATTGGAATAGGAAGATAGGAGACTAGATAAACATATTTGCCTTACTTGGTTATAACTGCACTTGACATATTTTAAATTTAAGTAATAAGAGACCACATTACAACAGAATGTTTTAAGAGCCTTTTATGTAACTTATTACAATGCTGTTTAAGACTGCCAGCAAACTCTTAAAACTCCTGGACACTGGCTCTCTTCCCTTCTGGCTTCTCTCCTAGTCATGTCTTGGCTACTATCCAGAGCTGACAACTTTCACCCAGGAGCGATGGGAGATTTGTCTAGTCTAAGAAGGATTTTTGAGCCATCCTGGATTTTCATATCCAGATGGGCAAGGAGGAGGGGTGGCAGCATCATTGTGCATACTTGGGTGATGTCATTATGCCACACATGCACTACAGCCATTAATTTTCTTACACTGGTGAATTCTGAATGTCCTTACTCAAATGTTTCCTCCTAGAAACTGTAGTGTGACAACTTTAACACAAAAATTATATTCAAATTTATGCTTAAAAGTAATTAATGCAAAAATACAATTTCCAATTGTGTACTGAAGACCTGAGAGATTTACCATCTTTATTAGTAACAAAAAGCAAACTGATAAAATGAGAATGTAGAAGTTTCTGTTTTTTAAAATCTGCTCAGAAAATTATGCTAAAGCATTCTGAATACTATTGGTTATATTATGACAGTTTTTTTATCCATAGTGTATTCCTACTACCAAAGGATTGGAATTATTATGCTTTTAAGGAATTTCTTCAACTATTAAATTTAGATTCTTAAAAGTAAATTTATCTCCCTTTAACGGGTTTCTTAGTTTCACTACTATGACTTGAAAGACCTTTTGACAGGAATGGTTTTAAAGTAGAATTACATCAACAGATCATATTCCTTATGAATCTTGGAGATGCTTACATAATCTCTGATTCCTTTAACTTTTAAAATAATGTATACATTTATATAACCAAATATATTTTTAATCCTACAAGTAATTAGGAGACTGAATAAGTTTATAATAAAAATAAAGAATTATCTCAGAAATTTAGGTGTTATATAATTTTCATAGGTTTTTTTTCAGTCTATTGATGTTTTCAGGTATTTGTATAATTTTGCAATTATTGTCTTACCACCATATATAAACTATTCTGCAAAAAGCTATGCAGAATACAGTACAATATTAAAATATAACTCATTGTATCATAATGTATGAATAAATATTCATTCTTGCTTCAATACTTTATGAAAACTTTCAAAATAGAATTAAGTTTGTATTAATAACTTGGTATACCTATAGAACTTAGAGTATAATAATTCATATGAATGAGTTTCTTAGAAATTTGGAAATCAAGGTTTTATATGCCTCTTATATTTGTAATTCTTTTCTTTTCATCTTCTAAGAGGATAATAGTTTTTGAAAAATCTCCATAAGCTACCTTTAAAATACTTAGGTTAGTAAATATTATAGGATGTTATGGTTTGCTAGTTAATTTTAAGACTAAATAAAAAAATAATGTCTTCTTGAAAATAAATATCAAGTTGACTAAATATACAATACTTTGCTTATCTACTACCACTAGAATAGAAATGAATTCCATTTTTATACCTTGTAATTTCTCCTAAGTATGTAATTGAGAAAGCACTAATTAATATCACGGAAATCTTACATAGCTATATTCTAACAGAAGTTGACTTTTACCATTTCACATGTTTAGATACAAAGACTTAATCTGTTATTTATAGATAAAAGTAAATCTGACCTTTTTGATAAAGAAATATTGTCAGTAGCCTTTGTATGTGGTTGTTCATCTGAGGTCCATGACAGGAGAACTCTTCCCAGTTGAGTTTATCCTAAAAATGAAATGGTAAGATCCTGCTGATTGCTTTCCAAGATTCTTCTTAATGGGGGAACCACATGGTTATTCTTCATCTCCCACTTGTTCTCACCCTTCACTAGTAACCCAGCCACACCCCACCCCCACCCCAACATTGTTCAGTACTCAGCACAATGAATCATTTTCAAGTTGACTCATTGTGAACTGTCTCCCAGCTGTTGGAATGTCTGGCAGACATTCTTGTTTGGGTGAAGAATAACTGGCTGAAACCCAACCTGGATGAGTTTGATATAATGGTCTCTGGCTAAAGAAATATTGAGAGGAACATGTTTATGGCCCCTGAAGCCCCTGTTATTTCTGGAGTAGAACCATCCCCTGTGGCACAGAACTGAAAGTAAGGAATCAATCTGGATTATTTTCTCACCATTGAATGAAAAATTGCCTTAAAAGAAAATAGGCATTTCCAAGTTGTGTTTGTTTTTCTGTACTTTGTGTGCCCATGTGATTAAAACTATTCAAAACAACTAAGAATATTTTTACTGGTTCTTTTGAGAGCGTTGATTCAATGAGAGAAGCATTCTTTATTTAACAACATTCCTACTTATGAAGGAGTTTCAAAAACTACTGTAGGTATGTGAGTTTGCCAATCATATTGGCACAATGTTTGGTGACGCAGTCCACCATGTATTTCATAATAAGTCAAATAACATTGACCAGGTGTCTTTCTTCTTTCATCCTTAAGAGAAAACTTTGGAAGTAGAATGCCAATGAGTTTAATAGTCATTCCCATTTTCAGAAAATGAAAAGCTTTTGTTACACAAGTTTCTTTGTGTGTTTTTTACAGCATACATAGTATCAGATTTATAAAATTTCTTCACAGTTTTACATTTCCCATACCTCACTTCAAACATTAGCTTAAAGTGGTGGACATTATCCGTATGCAAATTGGGAGTTTCAAAATTAAGGTTTCACAAACAACTGTTTTTGTCAACGTATTTAGAGCTTCATTGCAAAAAGCAAGTCTAGGATATTATGGCAAATGGTTTTCTGACTTGACATGCTATCAGAGACTTAAAGGCAGGCTAATTTTCCATAAGGAAATAAAGTTAAAACATATTTGATGATTTTATTTTTTATAGCTATGAAATTCTGGGTGTGTTAGAATCTTTTCAACTTAGTAACTGGGCATACTATACTTGGAAACATATTAATGCATGTTTAAACCAGACAAAATGTGCTGTTTCCTGAGAGGTTCAGCACAGGTTGTGCTGGGAAAGAAAATGTATGCCACTGGTTCAAGAGACATTAATCTAGCACACTCCTCTGCCTTTATTGTTATTCCAGAGCCAAATGGCAGCATCTGGAAAGAACACAGAAGGCTCCAGAGCAAGGCATGTTGCAGCCTCTTACTTGGACCCTTCTGTGTCTTTAATATGTCACAGAGAACCTCAGCTGTTATAGGGCTGACAACTAGTACCAGCTGACAGACGATAGCGGGACCCTTGCCTTATGATACTGTGCTATCTCCTGCTTCTGAGTCCTGCTGTCTGCCAGATTGTCCAGTGTGGGCACTGGATAAAGTTATTTGAGGGTAAGGGGAAGTTACTACTGTGTAAAAATGAAAAGTAGCCTTACTCTAAGATAACCAGTTTATGTCTCTTACCTGTTTTTATTTTCCCCTAAGCTTTGCACATTAGAATAGCATTCCTACATGGCTATGATTTCCAATTAAGACATGTTTCATCCAACCTTCAGTCTGTAAAGCCTTAATTTTTAAGTTGAGATTGCATAGTAGCACTATGGATATATAATGTTTAAACATAGCATTTTGTTTCCATGTTTTGCAGAATAAAGCTATTATTGGTCGTGTTAGAAACTTGGCTGATACAGTAGTTGCTTTGGAATCGTTCATCGGTTCTGAGAGAGAAACCAACCCATTATATAAAGATTACCATGGTAAGTCACACCCTTGTAATGAGAAGAATATGTGTTGGCTGCTTCTAGGGAAGCATGCTGTCCAGTAGCCTGAATTTGATTTAGAGCATACCTATTAGATGTTCTCCATTTGTGGTCAATTTTCCACAGTATTTTTATTTCCAAATCCATTAAGACTATAAACTATGATAATTACTTGAAAAGAGTCAAAATCCAGGTAAGGATGTGCTTAGTCTGTTCTACATTTTGTTTTCCCAGTGCCTTAAAATTGAATATCAGGCATTTTAGTTATGTTTGCAATGAATATTATGTGAATTCATATGATACAAGTTGAACATCTTTAATCTAAAATCCAAATCTGAAATACCACCCATCTGAAATTTTTCAGTGGGTTTTCAGATGGTTTTAGAAATGCCCAACCAGGAAATTGAATCCAAATATTCCAAAGTAGAAAAAAAAAAAAGAAAAAACCCTCCAGTGCCTGATCCCCCACCTTTTCAGGTGGGGGACTTGACCATTATAGTAGTGAATAAGTTTTAACCCACTCATGTAGTCTGAGTGTATATTAAGAATGGTCAACATTATTATTATTGGAAGTAAAATACTTCCGTAGAATCCTGTGGTCTACGGTCTGATTAGGTTATTTGAAGATTGTTACAAGATCGTGTCAGACCAGTTTTGTGATACTCTGCTGTTTTTTTTGTAGATTTCCATGTTAGGTTCTACCAAAAGAGCATTAAAGATTATAGGATACCTTATAGACAATAAGCTAGTGCTTGGAGGAATCAGTATACAACGTTTAAAAATAACAAAATAGAATAAGGAAACAATTAGGTGCTGTTTTAAAGCTAGGAAATATAAGCTATGAAAAAAAGCTACCATAAAATAATTTGCCTCATAATTCTTTATTGCCATAAGTGTATGTGGTATATGCCTAATTAATCCTACATGCAATGGATTTAATACATAATTTTTACTATCTTAGAAATCTATTAACGAATCCTATAGTTAGTATTTTCATTTCCTTTTAAATAGTTATTTTTAAAATTATCCATATTGAGCATCATTTACATGTATTGGGAGTTTATGAATTTAATAAAATTATATATATATTTTTTAAATTACTCTGATTGAAACTTTAAAGGTTAAAAGACTATGATTGTTTGCACTGAAGTCTGTGAATTGATCAATTATTACCCGTAGGATTTTGAGTGATTCTAATGTGCAGCAAACTTTCTGTTAATAAGGATGGCCCAATGACAGAATCATTCATTCCCTAAAGCACCCTGATTTATTAGCTAAATAAGCTCATGTAAGATTAACATAGGAAGAGTGCAGCTAAAAATATGGTGTACTTGTTTCTAGTAAGCACATTTGACTAAATGAGAGTTTTAAATGCGTAGGTAAATGTCATCTTAATAATGCCTTTGCTTTTTCTTTAAGCAGAAAAAATTAAGTAGACATTTTAGTCAATTGTTATTGAAAGTGTTGTTTCAAAAGTAACTGGGGATTTTATCTTCTGATAAGAGCAATATATGGCTAAACATTGAAACCCACACATTAAAAAAAAAAGCTTGTACTAAAGAAGTAGTGAAGCAATTCCATACATTTTAATAAGATTTATTTCCACTCATATTTAGGAATCAGTATCTTTGGGCTGATGATTTTAAATAGGAGCTGAGTCAGGCAGGCAGAGGCACTGAAGAACTGTCCATGTCTTCCTCTGTGGGAAATGACCCCTAGCTTAGTCAGAAACTACATTAGGCTGCACAAAAGCCACCCAGTGCCCTTGTCAGAAAAAATTAGCAAGTGTTTCCACTGACGAGAGGCCAAAGCTCACGGTTTACCTAGCACTGTTCTAAAGCTCCTAACAGCTATATAAAGATCTCACATGTCACAGAAATGAGTGTGTTGGGACGGCATAGGGGTTCACGTTTGATCCTTGAATGTGCTATGAAATGTAGTTTTCTTCAATGGTTTGTCCAAGTCATTAATAAGATACAAAATGAAATACTTTTCATTAGTGCTTCACTGGTTATCAGTAACCCGTAAGCTTTGTTTTGCTGGCTGCTTACTGGTGCATTTAATAAAATAAGGATCACTCAGTGGTGCCGTGGGCAGCATGCAAGGTGATAGCCATATTTGCTTACTGTAAATACAAAAGAAAATCACACACAAACCGGCTGTAGTTTTGACAAGTATTAAGACCCTTCTTTACATCTGTACTTCTTTACGAAAGTGCAATTAGTTTTCCTCGCACAAGGATTTCTGTTTATCTTATTCTGCTTGATTACTTGAGTATAATCACACCATTTGCTTCATTGCTCCTGGTAGTAGTGAGCTCCAGTTCTGAAAGGGGAGGATGCGTGTGTGTAAATTTGCAGGATTCTGCTGTAAGGCTTTTTAATTTATCCATCTGATGATAAAGTTTTTCAGTTCTTTTGTTTAATTTCCTTTTCACAAGGTTTGATTCATATACGGCAGATCCCTCGGCTTAATAACTTGATCTGTGATGAATCAGAAGTTAAAGACTTAGCTTTTAAATTAAAAAGAAAGCTGTTCACCATTGAGGTAAGAGAATTCCTATATCACAGCTTACAATGTTGACGTAGATATTGCCTCCCACTCTGTTTTTTTTTTTTAACTTCAGTGAAATTCTTGACATGATTCCTACTATCTATGTTTGAAGTTCTTTTGGTTTAAGATAACATATACTGCCTTTTTCTTTAAGTGGTTTATCATTAGAGTAAAAGTGATTTTGTTTTAAATGTCTATGAAAAGTTAAGCTACTAACTTACATGATAAATATGACATGCATATTTCCAAGGCATTCAAAAGCATATTTAATTAAATGTTAATGAGCTGTGCTTACTTGTGTGTGGAATGTGAGTGCTACCCACAATTGTGTATGACTGAGAGGATTTTCATCTACAGTGTAAAACATTTCTCTTTACTATTAGTGAAATTACCTTTCACTTTGTGTGCTGAGTTAAACAAAGGATAATTTACATGAATGTCTTTAAATTTTTTACACTCAAACTTTTCTTGTGACCTTTATGCAAGCAGTGATGACAGAAAATATTAGTACAAAAGATTTATTCCAACTTAATCTTGCTAAAGAGCAAATGAACATAGAACTATTAAGCAATTAGAGTTGACGTATTTATTAACGAAGTAACTGCTTGGCGGGAGAGGGCTTTTGGGTGATGTGATAGTTATCAGTATAGTTGGTGCAATTTTTTCTTTTGACAAAGACATAAAATAGCCAAGCAGCCTTGACAAACCATTTTGTTTAATCTCTTTTCAAATGAAAAGCTCTTAAGGAGACCACTTGTCTTAACTGCTTGAAACCATAAAAAGAGAGAATTGCCACCAATAAATTAGCATATTTTTAACTTCATCACCAAATGATGGTCAATGTGGCTTGGCGCTGCTTTGGTGTTTGGGACTTCACCCTTAAGTGACCACTTTGGCCCTTTTTTGACCCTCTGCCCTCTTTAAGCTGGCCACTTGATAAGGTAACTTAATGGTTCTCTCTCTTTTTCTCTTTTCCTTCACATTTGCAAGTAGCACTAACCTATAAATCATTGTAAGGGCCCTATCCAGTGACAAATTAATGTGCCCTCCTCCTAATTAATGGTCATCAATGTCCTTAATTATCTAATCCTATTGAGGGCAGTTAATAGTTAATCAGGCAGCCACTTCTTCAAGCAGGTCATCTCTGCAGGAGTGGTAGAAGTTTCTCATCTGGGGATACTCCCTTCAAAAGCCAGTTAAAGCCAAAAGAGTGAGAGTGTAGACATGGTAACTCTTGAGCTAATTTGCTTTAGTTCTCAAAAGAAGCCGTTGCAATGGAACTCAATACTAATTGTTTAAACATTATTTCGCCTTCTCTAACAAAACACTGACTAATTTCTGGTAATGTTGCTTAAAACTTCCAAAGGGATAAAGTAGCAGTGTAGTGTCACAGGAAAAGCACACTTATCTTTTCCTTTTACCTGGAATGTGTGATTTAGTAGGAAATGAAAGCTTTCTTTTGTCATGGGACACTTTCTCCAAAATCAATGTTATGACAACCAGCTTTGAAGTATCATTTTATTATCAAATTAAGCGAGGCAGCTCCCAATGAGGGTGAAAAAGTGTGAATGTGCTTGTTCTTTCTCTCCTGTCTCTCTTCCTCTCTCTCCCCATTTCTCTCTGTCTGCCTCCTTGGGGTTGGCTAGAGATTTAGGAAGAGAAAAAGTAAAACATTTACATAATGCCAAGTGGGACCTCTCTGTTGAATAACTTCAGATTCTACTAGTGACTGCATTTTACCATAGCTGATAAAACATCTTGTGTTAACTATTGCAGGGTTTTGCTACATTTTCCCTTCTCCCCAACATGGTAAACTAGGAGAACCATTACAGTTGGCCAGCTTATAGTTCAGAAGTAATACTTCAAAATAATACACAAATAGATGATGTTTTTTAAATATAGTTGGTCAAATCTTGTACCTTTTTTACTTAACCTGATGAGATTTTTCTTTTATTTTTAGAGAAATATGGGCAAAACACATTTTAAATCACTCACTGACTTATGCCAAATTATTCTAGGTGGTGGTTAGAAAAATATATAAATTAAGGAATTAAGCCTAATAAGAGTACATACAGATCTAATTAGAACAGTATAAAATCATGATGCTTGCCATTGATAAATGTTTTAAATAATGCATTTTAAAATACATATCCAAATAGATAGCAAGTCTTTGGTTGAGTATTATAGACTGGGAACAAGAGTAGAAATGACCAAAACATTAGTTCAAGGATTTCTTTATTGGGAAAACAAATCATTTCTCAAGTGCCCGTGTCTTATGCTCAAGAAATCATTGTTTTTCTTAATGGTCTAATAGTGTACTGTACTAATATACAATGCACCAGGTATTGAATCTTCTGAATTTCAGGAGGAAAAGCATAAATAACTTTTTCTAATCCCATGCAGGCAAATTTGTTACATGTTTGATTTTACCCCGAGTCTTGTGTCTCAAAAATGGTGATTTGTGAAAATGAGTGGCAAAAGAAGCAGGCAAAAACCCCCATCTCCATTTTTAGGGTAGTTTTGTCTTCAATCTGTTAGCTACTACCCTTTGTATCTATGAAAATTGTTTTGTTTAATTAATAACTACCAATGGTCTATAATATAGAATACAACTTTAGTATGTCCTAATTTCTTTGAGTGCTTTGAAGAATATAGTAAGTATTTTTTTCCTTCTTGTAGCATGTGTTGGTATTATCTAGATTCAAGTGGAAATGCTTATCAAATAAGAGTTAATTTTTACTTAAACCTTTAACTATTGTGTTCTGTAAATTAGCACTCATATAAAAGCCAGAAAAGAATCATATGTGTGCTGGTGACTCTGTTAGTGCTACTGCAACATGCTTGATTAACCATAGTACACTATTTATCTCTTGACTTCACCCAGATAACAGTTACCTAATCTTACCCAGCCTCCATTCAATGATAACACACTTTTATTGAGCCTTGATATGAGTATTGAGCAGTACACTGGCTTATTAATATATGTAGTATATAATTGTTTTAAAGATTTTGCTAACATGTAGTGATAGACTTAAAATACAGCTATATCTTTTTCATGTGTATGTGTATCTAGCCCAGAACTAAGGACAAGGTCATTTACTTAATAGGTATAAAATCTTGGCTGGAAGTTATATAGTTAAAAGTAACATAGTTATAAATACAATAGACCTTGTATTCAAGTGACCCCCACTCACTGCTTATTTAGTTAGAAGATTTAGAATTTGAGTACATAACTCTACTTGCATACTGAAGTATTTCTATTGCTACAATTTCTGTAAGTTTTGCATGTATTAATTTTAAATTTGATTTTGATTCAATTTTAACATTTATAATCTTGAAATACTACTAGTATAAATTCCACTAGTATAATTTTCTGAATGAATGATAAAATATTATTGCAGAGCATGGTAACTGAATTACACTGAAATACACAAAAAAGACATGTACTATTTACCCCAAACTTATACATAATGTTAAAAGACTTAATATATTATTTAATTGATCCAAAATAATGGTAGTCATTCTATTTCTGTAGACTAACTGAATTCTGAGAGTGAAAGATGTCACAGTAAATTGATTTTACTTATGATATCTTAAGACATTTTGGCCCTAATTCAGAATCTGTCTAATCACCAAGGATTTTTTTTCACAATGTAATATTTTTTAAGAAGTAGCTATTATTTCTGATGTATTCACTTAACACATTTATTTCTAAATAATGTTACCAGACTACTGAGAGACACCAGTATAAATTAACTTTATAATACCTATGGTACAGCTTCATTTGATTCAGAAGATGTTTATTTAAGTGTAATATTTGAAATTTTTACTTCTTGGAAAAGCATGCTCTTACCCTAAAAGAATGCTAGTCAATGTTCAGCAATATGAAGTGTTCCATAACTTCTGTGTCCTAGCCTTCCTTCCTTCCTTTTATTTTCAATAGCTTTCTAAATCTTAAGTGAGAAACAAAAATATGTGTTTTTTGTATCTAGAGCTAGTGAGAGAAATGGTTAACTTGCTTGTCAATTCACAGTTTGCCACCAATAAAAACCAACAGAAGAAAAAGTGTCTGCCATGGTGAGCTTACAGAGTTGTAGCACCATAGGTCATGTTGACAAGGATGCCCTCTACAAATATTGGCTGCCATTTAGATTTATTTTTATCCTTTGATATACTATAGTTCATTTAAAAAAAAAATACCAAAGTTGAACATAGGCATCTGTTCATCTGGATAAAATATTTTGTCAAAAGTAAACAAAAGTTGACATTGCTTAACAATGCAAATGCAATTTTCTATATATTTGCACTTTAATATATTCAATCCTTTACAATACCTATATGTACACTGCAATTCCCAGTGATGTAGATATAGAGTAGTGTCATACAGAGTTCACAGAATCTCCAGAAATCTCTTTAATACTGTATATTTCACATGCTGTAGTGACCCTATCAAAAATGCATGCCACCTTAAAGGGAACACGGTTTTGAGACTCTTTTTAATCCTATTTCTTCCCACTTTGGAATCTTAATTAAAAGAGATAAGGAAAAAATCATTTAACTAAATTATTGTCTTGAATCTGTAGCAAAAGGTATAATCCGCAATTGGGCCAATTAGCAAACCCCTTAGTTAGCTCTGCTGTGGTGAACAATTTGATTAGATCTGACACCATCGTGGTTCCCACTGTTTTGCCAGGTATGATGGTCAGACTTCAAAGAGCTTGAGGCATCAGCAGGGCAAGGTTTGGAGGCCAGCTTAGGTCCGGTTGTTAATCTCTGTGCTAAAACCACAGCAGCTCTCACACAAAACAAGCTTACACGACACAATCATGCGGTATTAAAGTTAGGGCTGAGTCATGCCAATTTGCCTTTGATTTTTTGATGATTGACCAAAGATGGCTACATGACTAGACACATGCTAAAAGTATACTGATTAGGTAAGTTCCCAAAATATTTGAAGTATTTTTTAGCTTCTGATATAAATGTTTTGAAAGCTT